TATGTTTGTAGTGGTCCGATACAAGAGCTAGAGGGACCGACGACGGCGCATATGGAGATTGAGAGTCTTTCAGGCTAGCCGCTAGTAGACAGGGAGTAATAGTTGTCTATAAGTACTCGTATTAAGAAAAATCTTTTCCAACGAGTTGCAAGGTCTTTAGCACCAGCTATGAAAGGAAGGTCTCATCAGAGGCAGCAGGAAGCTGCTTGGTCTTGAATTTACTGAAACTTTCTGGTTGTGGAGGGTTGTGGGGTTGCAATTATAATGGGAATGGTGGTTCAAATTGAAGTTTGAAAAGCGCCAATTTAAGTACAGTCACAACTCTATTCAGTAAAAACAGCTATATATACACTATCCTCTTCAAGTTTCAAGCAAAACAAAAAAAAACAGTATCGCGTTCAAGAAAATCGCAAACTCCCTGGCTGGGAGTCGAACCCAGCTTTCGCGCGCTGAAGCAGAATAATGACAGGCGCGTGTACTAACCGATATACTACCAGGGAGTTGAAGAATCAACAGACGAATCAACTCAGACCGCTAAATGAAAGATGGGAAGAAGAAACAGTTCTGAGTTCAATTTCCAGTAATAAGTGATGTATTAGTACATTATGAATACATTTCGCGTTTCCGACACTCTACCCAGAAATAAAATTGAGGCTGATGACAGAAAGAAGACGTGCAAGATGAACCCCGACCCAAAGGAAAATAAATAGAAAGAGAAAACCAAACCGGGACCATAGCGAGAAGAAGGGATGTGGACAACATGAACGACGCTTGAGACCCAGACCAAAAAAAACCAGCCTAATTGCAGCGCCTCATCGTCTTTCCTCAACAAATCGAGAGATATTTTCTCATCACTGTGACAGGTACCATCCGAGTACCTCTCGATAAGCATGAACGAAAGAGTGGTACGACACGGTCTTAGGTATTCGTGGAATACCTCGGGAGAGCATCGGAATCGGAATAGGGACTGGGGAGAAAAGGTAGGACTGGCGAGTCCATGCCCGATCATGACTCCGTGCTCCTGCTGGTAGTCGTTCTACTCGATCGCTCATCCGAGCGATAATAGGAAACCCAACCAATGCCATAAAGCACCAGAAACAATACCGAAACCTCTGCTACGCATATGGGGAATGCACGGCTAGCCATGGAGATTAAGCGGGTGATAGCACCGGGGAGAATGGAGCCAGGAAGGATGGTTTGTATGAGTTTGATTTCGACGGAAAGGGAAATGACTGAATTGGAGAGGGAAGATGCAGAGACGGAAAGTCGAGTTCGATTGAAGATGCAATCGTTAATAATGATGATTCCGAGAAGAATCGACACGCAGGCGCGTGTAAGTGAAGCATGCTTGTTCCGAGAGTTCCCCGTCACGAAATCCGGGCTTTCGTTCTCTTTCTCTACGCATGCATTTGAACCAGAACCCGAATCTTCATCGTCAGAATGGCTCGTAGTCGTACACTCTAACCCGAACAACTTCCCTAATTCAATCAGACTCTCCAAACCAAGAATGATAATCCTATACCACACAAATACCAAAGCGCCAAACGCCAACGCGCTGGCATGAATCTGCGTGTGCCATTCGAGAGTCTGCAATTTGGTTTCAAGCGTGAATTCGGCGAGGTCTAATTGTTGCTTGGATGCGTATGGTAAGACGAATGAGAGGAAGATTCTGGGATAGGAAACCACGAATTCAGATAAGATGACGATGGATGTTATGAGGGAAAGAGCGAAGAGGAAGAGAGAGAGGGGTGTTTCAAACGAAGGCTTCCGAGTCAACGTTGGCCTGGTTGGAGAAGGAGAAGGAGGAGAGAATTTGTCATGCCAGCCTTGTGCCATAGGAAGTGCTCCTGCGTACACCGCTTTGGCTCGTCGTCGTCGTGGTTCAAGAGAGAAAAGAGAATAAACCTTTATAGGGACGTCTGGCTGGCAGCGAGCCTTTGACGTGACATCTGGCCAAGCCAAACTGAGATCCGATTAAATATAAATTCACCATAGGGTAACTCCCGAGGTACATAGCTTCTCGGCTGCTTGGCCAAATTCATGCGATTCCGCTGCTTGGCTAAATTCATGCGATTCCGAAGACCTTCCTCCCGCGGCCGAATGTAAGTATTTCGGACCGAACTAAGCTAGTGCCACTTTTCTCTCGTTCGATTTGAATCTACGGAGTCGCAAAGTAAAGCACAAAATAACGCAGACCTATAAAGACAAATGAGCTTTTTTTCATTTGTCGTCGAACAGCTAGCTGGTGAACACGTCATGGTGGTATGGAAAAGGAAACAAGTTACTTACGCCACACTAGTACCAGAGAAAATCTTTCTCTTTTCGACCAAAGGCTCAGACCTGGGTTCGTTTCTCCGTTTTTCCACTCAATAAATTGACCGAAGCTCATAAACCTCGGCCAGACTTCGAAGGCCGTATGTCACCGTACTAATACACTCGGACTATCGTTACGATTCTCGACTGTTGGAGAGAAGTAAGCATAAATTTCTAGTACGGTTTACAACGAACTATTCAGGAAAATAGATCTTGGCATCGTCGAGCATGACTCGAATCCAAACCTAAATTATAATCCTAGTTCCGTAATCGCCTTTCAAGGAAGCAGGCTTAGGTATATTCCAGTTTGATGATAGACTGACCAAACCCTGGAAGGCCAGGAACGACTGAGATTCGACAAGTCGTAAACTAGTCTTATTTGGCGTCGGAAGCTTGCCATATCGAGTTCGTATCTGAGAATGAACCAGAGGCGAAAGAGAGGGGTACACGGTCGTTGCTTCGTTTCTTATCGTTCAATCTTTAGAACAACATCGTTCTCTTACTTCCGTCAACGCCTCTCCTTCAAGCGCTCTCTCTCAATGTCACCACAAACTTCTGGTCCCTCGAGCATCACCAGCTTTCTCATCTGCTGCGTTCATCTCGTTGTAAAACCCTCGCACGGTCTATCAATCCCAACCCCCAACCTAAATACCATTCTCCATAGCCAGCGGTAACTTTTTCGTTCCCGTTGACGATCACGAAGAGGACGACGATCCTCCGCAGATGCCACTACAGATCCTGGCTATCCTTGGCGTTCTTTTCGAGGTCGAAAACGGATACGTCTGACTTGGAATCGAGAGAATGGAATCGATTGATTGTGGGATATTTGAATCTTCGTCGGTGGTTATGGGAGGATCCTGCGGCAGTGAGTGTCTTTTTGAACTCGGAAGGTTTGGGAATAGTACGCGTCCATTTTCACGACGGTGTGCATTGGGTGTGCAGTTGCTGACGCTTTTTCAGTTTGTAGATGCTATCAACCAAGTGACAGAGACGGATTTCCTTATTCCAAGTTTATGTGTACTCTTACTAGGGATCATTATAAGTACAGCCGGAAGCCTGGAGCAATTACTCGGTAAGCATCTATCGCTCGTTGTGTACGCTAACTCATATCTTTCAGTGTGACGATAAGTCCCATCCTACATCGTCTCGGCGTAGACACCCTCCGACGTATCGCTCGTCTGAGAAAGGACGAACGTTTCATCACTGTCAGCCTCGTACAGTATTATCCTAGCTCTGCGCCGTACCTACAAGCCACCACTGTTGCTGCTGCGACTGCAGAAGGAGAAGTGTGGTTCAATGGGGCCTTTGTCGATTTCTGGAAATTGAATTATTATAAGTGGTATCGGTTTGTATACGTTGTTGGTAAGCTCATGTACGAATTGGCATTACTAGAACCGCCCAAAGAGGGCTTTCTACGCGGATCAGCTGGCTTCTACATCTGGTGCGTTTTGTTCAACCAGCTCGTTCATCTCTGCGTACTAAATTTCCATACAGGACTCAGCGCGGAGACAGCTATGTTGATATCCTCCTTCCAAGACACACTTCGTAGTCAGTCACAGGAGATCGAACAACTCCGTAACCAACTAATTACAACAATAAAAATCTCCTCCTCCAGACAATGGCGCCAAGGTATGTAGACCTACATGTTCGCTTCAAGAAATACGACGGTGCTAAACTAATGCATTTTTTTCCCCTTAGATCGCTGCCCTCAAATCAGAGCTAGATTCTCTTCACGCTGCACTTAAAACCTCGGAAGAAAAGCAAAAAGAGATTGAGAAGGAACAAGAGGACTTGTTGGTACTTTTGGATGAGGTGACTGTGAAGCGGAAGTGTGATAAGGCTAGACTGCATGTAGCTGGGATGGGAGTATCTGAAAACGAGGGGAAGGAGGAGTGTGATGAAGACAATGAGTGATAAATGAGATCAAAGCGGTGCTGTATGTGCAGCTGGTTCCTTGTTAATGCAGGAATTACTGTTCTGCACTCTACGAAGTGGAGAGTCCGGTGAGGAGGACTTATAGATCTCCGAGCGCTCATTTTCAGTGTCAATCAGCTGTCATGTGCTCTATTGCAAAGGTATAAAAGTGTGCAGACTCATTCCTCTTCTTCATCTTTCCCATCATGGCTGCAGGACGTGCTCCTCCCAACGCGTGAGCATTTAATTAAATCATTTTAGTTCAACAGCTAAATAAAACAAAATAAATGATCCAGTTATTTCCCGAATGCCTCTAATTTCGAGATTCACAATTCTCGGTTCAACATGAGTGTGCAGAATATACATGAAAGTCCAAGTAAGACTAATTTTCATACATCTATTTTATTCTGCCCTGATGATAATTTGTAGTCAAGCACAAACTCCAAACGGAGCTAAAGCCTATCAATGGTGCTTATCTTAATCCAGATAAGACCTGCTTGAAGGGCACCAGGGTAGGAATTACAGCTGATATCCTGGCATGGATTCACAGCCCAGATAATGAGGTTTCGAAACCATTTTTCCTATGTGGAGAGGCTGGCACTGGAAAGTCAACCATAACTCATACTATTGGGCAGAATGCAAAAGACACAGAATGTCTAGGGTCATTCTTTTGCTTTGACCGCACATTTGCTGCTGAGCGTACACCTAGCAAAGCCTTGCAAACTATTGCTTATGACCTAAGTATTAGTTTTCCAGAATTTGGAAAGGGCCTGGTAGAGGCAATGGAAGCTGACCCATATATCTCAAGTAGCATGAGTCTCAAAGAGCAGTGGAACAAGCTCATTATGGCACCTGCAAAATTTATCACTCCAAGTGGGCCTGTTGTGATTATAATGGATGCACTTGATGAATGTGGGCTTAAAGGAGAGGGAAGGCCAAGAGAGATGTTACTCTCTTTATTAATTAACAATGTCTGTGAACTTCCCAAACACTTCCGTGTTCTTGTCACATCTAGAATGGAAGGTGATGTACATGCAGCTGTTAATGAAGGTTTAGATGCAAAATTACTTCAAGCTCAGTACATGAGCAATCTTCAACAGACAAAAGAGGATATACACAAATATGTAGTTCATAGGATGATGGCAAGGAAAGGTGCTCCAGGTGTTCTCAATGAATCTCAATGCCAAATCCTTGTAGAAAAAGCACAGGGCTTTTTTCAGTGGGCTTATACAGCATGCGAAGCACTGCGTGGAAAGGGTAAAGCAGGGCTGAC